TCCCTTCCCTTCCCTTCCCTTCCCTTCCCTGCAAGATCTTATTTGGAAGGGCAGTCTTTCAGACCATAACGGCAGATGGATGTCAGGAGTTCTTCAGCTGTCATCTACAAGAGATAAAGGGCTGGAAAAAGCCCTGGAGCCCTAAAAACCTTGTGTTCAGGCTCGTGGTCTGGAGAAGGCTGTGCAACCCTGCAGAGCAGTGCCTGGGGAAAGCAGCTGTCTTGCTGCAGAGGTTGCCCGCCGCTGCCTTTGGTTCAGGTGCCAGGCTCTGCCGAAGGACAGTCGCCGGCGGCAGGAACGTGTGGATGTAGGCTATTACAGAGACAGGCTATTACAGAGGTCACGAGATCAGGCTCCTTTCTTGTACTGTTTTACTGCCACACGAAGAAGGTGCTTTTGTCAGTGCTCCCATCAGTCTTCCCTTTTCTCTCTTTGGTGTCATCTTTCAGTGACGGCAGCCTTTAACTGACCTCAGGTGCAGTCGGTGGCCCTTTACATGGGCTGAGTTACCTGTCCTGCCAACAGTGTGTGTTTCACTACCTTCCATGGCTGCCTTTGTGCCTTGCCTTCAAGTGCATGATTTTCCCTGCAGGTACAGCCTGACACTGAAAGGTTCTTCCCACTGCTCTGGTGGGAGCTCTCCTGCCTCACTGCCACTGCGGGCGTTGGCCTTTGCATGCCTCTCGTCCTTCTCCAGTCCCCCTTTTATAACTGCAGAGTTTCATGGTGCTGCACCACAGGTACCAAAGAACATGCATATTTGGATGGCAACATAAAATTTTTTACCATGAGGATGGTGAAACACTGGAAGAGGTTGCCCAGAGAGGTGGCAGATGCCCCATCTCTGTAAACATTCCAGGTCCGGTGGGACGGGGCTCTGAGCAACCTGATCTAGTTGTAGATATGCCTGCTCATTGCAGGGAGGTTGGACGAGATGACCTTTAAAGGTCCCTTCCAACCCAAACTATTCTATGATTCTATGATGCTATGATTCTATACCAAGGTGCTACTGATAATCCTTGTGGAATTTTTCATCGGATTGGCCTGACAATTTTTTTTTTCTTTTTTCAAATACATTCTATAGACTTAAAAATAACAATTTTATCTTCCAGTTCAGCCTTGCTATTTAATCAACTGTGGCAGAAAGATGAAGTAATATGATTAAACTCCCAGACATGGAGCATAAACTCACTACAAATAGACGTGTAATTTGGAATGAGAAGACAGTTTCGGCCTGTGCAGAAGTGCACTGGGGACGCTGCTCATTTTTCAGAGACAAGCTTTTGTTCCCAGATGGCCCTGATGTATTCTCAAGTTGGCTGCCTCTACAGTCAACATCAGTTGAAATGCTTGTGCTGTTTTCACCGTTCAGTATCCAAAAGTGAAAGCTTCTCCCCTGTGGTCTGGCTCTTTGAAAGAAAGATGGATGCATTTTGAAATGGAAGCATTTTGAAATCCTTGGTTGGTCTTGTTTGTCCTTTGTTTCTCTTTAATTCTTTACTTGAAACTGGTCTTGTTAATGCCCTTGATATCAGAACAGGCTGATGATCTCGTATCTTTATTCAATTGCTGTATTTCTGAATTCCAGACTGCTCTGAATAAGAAGTCAGTTGTAGGTAAGGTAGTAGTTCTAGCTTTGCTGCTTCAGTCACATTCATTTAACACTTTTTTTTTTTTTTAATTTAAAAGCTTAATTTCCCATCCCTGTGCAGACATCCTCTTTGTAGAAGTGCTGTCTGAAATGACATATTCTGCAGGGTTCTCTGATGGTCACACCATATAAAACAGACACATCTACAGCATAGATTATGAACCAGACAGATTAGCCCAGAATTCACCTCAGAGCTCAAACACTGATGAATGTCTTGGACTGCTTTTTGTCAGACTACAAATATGTTGTTTGCGTGACTCTTGCCCTCATGGGGTTAGGTCACTACTAGGTACAGACTCTCAGACTGGCTTTCTCAGACCACTTAGGAGGTACTGGGTATTGTCTGTCTGTAGTGCACAGAACAGAGATGCACACACAGACCACCTTACTAAGTGGACATTAAAATTCTGCTGATGGGATGGTAATTTCTCGAACTGCTTTAACTCAACAGCTTGCAATCATCTCATTTTTTCCTCTGTGTCAATTGAATGATACTTCAGTCCGTTGCAATATTCTCGTTTTTTATTTTCTATTTACTTCGCTGGCTCTTTCCAGCAGACGGATGTGGTTGTAAGCATGATTTGCCAAAGGGCCTGCCACATGAACTTCATGCCCACACACTTCTATCACATATAGTAAATACCTCTGTCAGTCCTCTCAATCCCTCTTCTTGAGGAAACTGATATTTGCCCACTTGTGGATTAGCTCCCAAGCGGCTTTCTCAGCTGATAGCCTGGTAGTTCTATGACTTACTATTGAACAAGATACTATGAATAACTTACTAAGACTTTTTTCTTGTCCCCATGGGAGCGTTTTAGCACTGAATGCTAGGAATGTATCCTTCTCTGCCACATGGAGAACATAGCTCCAAATGAAAAGTTTGGGGCCTCAGCAATTTTTAATCCTT